AACTCAAAATTCCTTCCAGGGAATTTTTTTTTTGCAGATTCAAATTGCACATCGAAAAAACGCCCTCTGCGAGGAAATATTCCCCCAGAAAAGCAACAAAAACCCAACCTTGGAGCGCAGGAATTTCTCCTGGGATGGAGCTCATTGCCTCAGGAGCTGGCCCGGGGCTCACTTTGGGATTTTTGGGTGTCTTGGCCGTGGTTTTCTCCTTTGAGGAAGGCAAACGTCTGACACGAGCTCCTGGGGGGCCGAGAAGGGAGAAGCTGATGTGGCAACCCCCGAGGTGGCACCATCCGGGCTTCTCCCCCACGTTGGGTTTCCCACACCAGTTCAGGGTGGCTCATTCCTGCTGGGAAGAGCGTGGCAGCTCCCGGGGGGCTGGAGGGGAAGGAGGGGACCTTCTCCTGGATTTTGGTGTCACTCCGTGGCGTTTCTGCTCCTCCAGGAGCAGGAGGAGCCCCCTCCCTCGTGGAGGGGCTGCGCTTCATCCTTGTCACCCCCAACTCACCCTGGCGAGCCGAAACCTTCAGGTTTTCCTCCTTCCCAGGTGGAATCCCACCGGGATTTTTCCCAGCGGGAAAACAGGGGTGCTTGTGGTGGCCCCGGGGAGCGTGTGGTGGCCATGGGGGACACGTGGTGGCCTTGGGAAACATGTGATGGCCTCAGAGAGGGCATGGTGGCCCTGGGGGGCACGTGGTGGTCCTGAGGGGCGCCTGGTGGCCATGGGGGGCACGTGGTGGCCTTGGGAAACGTGTGATGGCCTCAAAGAGGGTGTGGTGGCCCCGGGGACACGTGGTGGCCATGGGGGATGCATCATGGCCATGGGGAGTGCGTGGTGGCCCTGGGGAGCGTGTGGTGGCCGTGGGAAGCACGTGGTGGCCCTGGAGGGCGTGTGGTGGCCCTGGGGGATGCGTGGTGGCCATGGGGAGTGCGTGGTGGCCCTGGGGGATGCGTGGTGGCCATGGGGAGTGTGTGGTTATCCTGGGGAGCGCGTGGTGGCCTTGGGGACATGTGGTGGCCCTGGGAAACACGTGACAGCCTCAGGGAGGGCGTGGTGGCCCCGGGGACACATGGTGGCCGTGGGGAGTGTGTGGTGGTTCTGAGGAGCGTGTGGTGGCCATCAGGAGCACGTGGCGGCTGTGGGGAGCGCATGGTGGCCCTGGAGGGTACGTGGTGGCCATGGGGGATGCGTGGTGGCCCTGGGGAGTGCATGGTGGCCCCGGGGAGCACGTGGTGGCCATGGGGGATGCATGGTGGCCATGGGGAGTGCATGGTGGCCCTGGAGGGTACATGGTGGCCATGGGGGATGCATGGTGGCCCTGAGGAGTGTGTGGTGGCCCTGGAGGGCGCATGGTGGTCCTGGGGAGCATGTGGTGGCCATGGGGGATGCATGGTGGCCGTGGGGAGCGGATGGTGGCCCCGTGGAGCACGTGGTGGCCCCGGGGAGCGCATGGTGGCCATGGGGGATGCATGGTGGCCCTGGGGAGTGCGTGGTGGCCCCGGGGAGCACGTGGTGGCCGTGGGGACACATGGTGGCCATGGGGGATGCATGGTGGCC